ACGATCTTGACAATAGGCACCAAGATGTAATAATAATGGATATATATGTTCTCGAAATTCATTCCATGTTTTTATTAATTTTAAATTACCTGGACAAATATTTATATTTAATGGATTAGTTAATTCATATTGAAGAAAACAAATATGAAGATCCGAATTACTTCAAAACAAAAAACAAAATTAAATAAATTCACTTTTTTTTTCTTTTCTTTTTTTTACCTTTTATATAGTGGATCAATCATATAAGTAATAATTTTTGTTAAAAGTGTATTTATTTCTCGATAGGATGTACATGACCATCGAGGTAAATTATTAAATAAAAATAATGTATGATCTAAATCACCGACAAGTAATAATGCTTGAATTAAATGTAATAACTGATTATTTGTTTTCTAGAAAAATAAATAAATAAATTTTTAGTACAAAAATTCTTCATTTTTAACTATCGTCTAAATCAGCAGCCGTCTCGAAAGAAACATAGTTCGTAGTAATCAATAGAAATGTTATTCGACTAAGTCAAGATCTATGAGTTCAAGTCATAACAATTCTCACTTCTCGATTTGAAGCATTTTACAAAAAATAGTAACAAACATCCTATTTGATTTATTGAAGCTTTTGTCATGATAAAATCTCCTAAAGAATACTTTCACAAGGAAAGTTCTCCCATTGATTAATCATGTTTGAGTTTAAACTACATGTATTATGTAGACTCGAATAAGCTGTGAATAGCTTGGAAAAGAATTCGTGTTCTTAGATTATTGCTGCGAAGATACTACACTTTTACAGCAATTTTTAAATCAAGTCCGTGGTAGTTTTGATGTTCTTATTTCAGAATACAAGCCAATCAAGAGATTTGAAACTTTTACAATATTCTATTCTTCTTAAGGTCTGTTTCTGTGTAAAATTTCAAGTAGAAATTGGAAAATTATTGTTCCGGAAGAGGACCACCATATAACCTTAAAAATACAAACGCTCGTGCCAATAAGCTAAGAATCCGAACTTCTTTCATAACATTCATATAGTTTCTTAGAGATGACATGACACGCATAGTTCCGACTCAAAAGCAATTAATCAATTGTCGGACTTTCCTTGTCAAACTAAGATCATGCGAAATCAAGTTTTTTTTTTTTTTCTGTTCTCTTACATATCAACTTGCTATTCATTATAGCTGATAATCTTTATATCAGCACAATTTCATATGTCCGAAATTCATTGAATGTATTTCAAAGCGCAAGAAAACTTAAAATTCTTACTATTGTATTTGAATCTTTTGATTTATTATTTGAATCATTCGATGATGAAGCTAAATTTTTCTTTGATGTACGTGCTTGTTCAACTTCTTTTGTATAATTATCCCCAAAATCTGTTATTAATGGATACAACTAAAAGAATATAATCAAATAAGATATTTTAAAATATCAATCTATTTCTTATTTACATGTGGTAATAAATCTTCAAGTTCAATTAAATTATTTGAAATAAGTTGAGCAGCTAATAAATAAAGTGAATCAACTGTTTCATCTTGTAACTAAAATTTCAAAAATATAAAATCTTATAAAAAACAAAAACAAGGAGTATGTTATTTTTACTTGATATTGTTGAAATTTAAAACCAATTAATTGACATAATGTTACTTTATCAAAATGAAGTAAATTTAATAAATCAACATAAATTTTTGTATATTCAAGATGATATTCAAATGATTCAATAACTAAATCAAGCATACGATTAGGATCTATATCAAAGTAACCAATTAATGCCATTAAACGATCATATAATTGTTCGGATGTTAATTTTGTTATGGAAAAATTTTGATTTAATTCAGTTAATGTTTTAGCAAAACCTTCACTTTCTTCACGTAATAAATTAAATTTTTGTTGTTTATAACTATTTAATAAATAGTAGACAAATTCAAAAAAAATTTTTGTTTTTTTCAGTGAATAGAAAATTAAACTTACTAAAGACGAGTTTTAATTCGAACATATTTTTGACTAAATTGTTCACGACTAACAATTAAATCAAGATACTCTAATGTCTCTATTTCAAGACGTTCCATTAATAATGATGTTGAAACAATATGCTAAAAAAAAAAGAGAAAGTGAAATTAAATAAGATCTGATAAGATAATCCCATCGACTGAAATAATATATTCAAAGTTCATCGGTTCTCCTTAGTCGAAGCAAAGACATTTATAGGGCAGAGTAAGGTCTCATATCCTACAAGCTGTAAAATCAACTTTTCGAATTTTGATCGTGAAAAAGAACGTTTTTTCAGTTTTTGAGAGTCAAAAATAAACTACCGAGAGTGGCACCAACTGGTATTCAGTTGTCTTCTATAGACCTATGTCTAAATGAATAGGATAAAATTAAAAAATAAATAAAATGACTATCGAAGCATTTTGTTTGTATTATTTATTCTCGTGTTATTAGCAGATTAAAGCAAAAATTTGAGTTATGAGTCTTATATCATATTATTTGATTTGGATGATGATGATATTTGCCAAATATCTACTCCTAATTTTATTACTACATCAAATTCATCTTCATCTTGTCTTACCAGCTATTCCATTTTATCTTCTATAGATTTTTATAGTGCTAAACAATTAAAACAATTGCTATTAATAAAAAAGACCAAAATCTTATTCTTGAAGATAATAGTTCGACATAAGTATTAGCGCCTTGACGGGATTCTTTTGGATATATAGTTGTTAAAAATAAAAGAAATAATTTTGAACGTATTAATGATTTCATTAGCTGTTTCGAATGTTATCATACGTTTCGTTATGGATCTGCAAGTGCAACAAAGCACTTTATCAAACATGCGAATCGATGCTTTTAGAAAGTAAAGAATATGATTATAGTATAAGAAAAGGCTAAGAACTTGATCAATATTTTCAGATATTGTCTTGATGGTAGGTCTATCGGATCGTATTTCTTCATCGATCTCCATGGAATCATTTCGATCATCTATGTTAACTCACTTTAGAGGTAAAACTTAGTCGCTGAAAACAGAACATAGGTAAGTCGTAAATAACTTGTAATTGCATAAGAATTGTAATATACACTTTAGTATAGAAGCGAAAATTGTTCTTATCCATTCAAAGCAAAAGATAAATAGTTTTCATCGAAAATTAAAGAATAATAAAATCTAAAGTATTGTTTGTACTATGAATAAAAATTCTTCTTAAACTTTTTATACGATATAATAGTTCTGTTTGTCATTACTTTTCATTATATCCTAAATATTTATTAATTAAAAATAACATTGTATAATTTCAAACATATTCGTCACTTTTTCTAATATTCATAGTGAATAATTGAAACTTTAAATTGATTCGATAATAAAACAATAAATTTTTGAATCAATGAGATGCAATAATAATCCCGAAGTTTATGTATATTAACATTTTTTTTTTTCTATTCGAAAACTTCTCTTCACTGTCTAATATTTCAAGTATCTACTGGCCAAATTATCATACATATTGTATTCAATAAATTTTTATCTTTTCTAAAATTATTCATTATACACTTCCAGACTAATAGATAATGTTCGATAAAAAAAAAAAAAAAAAAAAAAAAAATTTTTTTTTATTCAATTCTTACTTCAGAATTATTAATTAATTGAAAAAATCTTTGTTTATATGTATCTTTTGTAATTACATCATCATTTGGAAATAATTCAATATCTATATTTAGAAAAACAAAAATTTAATTTTTTTTTTTTTTTTTTTATTTAAAATAAAAGAAGGAACTAACCAAGTGTTGCAAAAATATCGGCTAGAAGATCACCGATCATTGATGGAGACATAACAATTTCCTAAATAAATAAATAAATAAATAAATATTTCAAAATATTTTTTCATGTATAATTAATTTACTTGAAGTTCACCAAATATTCGAATAACTGTTTCCACTGATTGACTACCTTGTAAACATGATTTACATAAAGAAACAAGTAATTGTTTCATTGCTAGAAAACAAAAAAAAATAAATTTTTTTTATTCATCAAACAAAAATTTTAATTTTTACCCAATTCAGCTTCTAATTTATCTTTATCATCATCAAGTAATTGTTTATACAGCTGATTACTATACAGAGAAAAAAAAAGGAAAATAAATAATAATATTAATAAATAGAATTTTTGTTTTTTTTTTACAATTGATTTCTTCCATCAGGTAACCAATTATTAATTGCTGTATTGATCGTATTTGATATATCAATTGATCGATTTGTTTGTATTTCAACCATGATTCGATCTATCGACTCAAGACAAGAAATGATTTCGTCAATATGCAAAAAAACAAACGTTTTTTTTTTTCTTTTTCTTCCGTTATTTAGTGTTACAATTTATTTTGGCCATTGGAGAATTTTTTGATCCTTTCTATTGATGATAGATGTCATTAATAATTGGTTTGGTTATAATAGAAAAAACAAAAAAATAGAAAATAAGATAAATTATATTTTTCATTGTGTGTAATATTATTAATACGATTGATGTTTAATATTTTCTGTAAATACTTTTTTTTCTTTTTCTGTGATTATTTATACAATATTATTGTACATATTTTCTCGTTCGGCGTGTCTAATTCTTGACTATCAAGAATCTATAAATATCTATCGGATATTTATTTCTGATGAATGTTATTACTCGTTCTATCTGACGAGGAAAGACGAGCCACTGATTATCTATCCATTTTTTTTTTGTGTTAGTTCCAACCAACGTACCATATATACAATGGTAAGAATATACATATGTTTGTGTGTGAGTGTATCTTACTGATTTAATTATATGCGCAAGTAGCGAGTTGAAATTTCTTTATTGATCAATATATTTTAACAATAAAATAGTTATATAGACATAAGTTTTAGTTTTCTTTTTATTGAAAATGATTTTGCTACTCTCATCATTATTAATACAGCATTATATGAGAATAAGTAAAACTTGATTTATATAAGAAAAAAAAAGAAGACAAACGTTATGATTGATGACAATAGCAAAGATCAAAAAACAATCTCATTGATGGATGATGTTCTAGGCGAAGTTGTTGGTGGTGGTGATGCTGATGCTGTTGCTGATGCTGATGCTGTTGCTGTTGTTGATGCTGATGCTGATGCTGATGCAGAAGTGTTAACAGATGATACTTTATTATTTTTATTACGATTTTTAGTTGTAATATTTGATGACTTTTGATGTCCATTGCTATTATTATGGCGATTTAAAACTGTTTGATTATTCTTCGCGTTAGTAGATGTAGACTGAGGTTTGTTAATAGATGTTGAATTCAAATTAGGAATTGATTGCTTTTGTGGTGGTGATGCTTGCCGTTTTTGCTGGGATTGTGAGAATAGTTGTTGCGATTGTTGTTGCGACTGTTGTTGCGGCTGTTGTTGTGATTGTTGTTGTGGTTGTTGTAACTGTGAAAATAATGGCTGTTGTGATTGTTGTTGTGATTGTTGTTGTGGTTGTTGCTGTTGTGATTGTTGTTGTGGTTGTTGCTGTTGTGATTGTTGTTGTGGTTGTTGCTGTTGTGATTGTTGTTGTGGTTGTTGCTGTTGTGATTGTTGTAACTGTGAAAATAATTGTTGCTGCTGTGGCTGTTGTTGCTGTTGTTGTTGTGATTGTTGTTTTGGTTGTTGTTGCTGCGGCTGTGGTTTTGGTTGTTGCTGTTGTGATTGTTGTTTTGGTTGTTGTAATTGTGAAAACAATTGCTGTTGTTGTTGATATTGTTGTTGTTGTGTCTCGTCGATAATTGTACTATGAAATATAGACTCATATGGTTGATAAGTATCAATTGTATTTGAAAAACAGCAATCTACAATTGTACGTTGTTCAGTATTAAGTACTTTTGGAAAAAGAATATCAAATTTAACAATAAGATCACCACGTCTTGTTGGATCTTTTGGATAAGGTAAACCTTCATTTGTAAAACGTTTTTCTGTTTGTGGTGTTATGATTTCATGATGAGAAAAAAATTGATATGGTTGTTTTGTTGAATCAAGAAATGGTATAACAATTAATGTACCAAGTAATGCTTGTTTTAAAGTTAATTTAACTCGATAAATTAAATCAGAACTTGATCGTTCAAATATTGAATGGGGTTTATCACGAATAATAAATACAATATCACCAGCTATAGTATTTTGATCAAATTCATCACCTTCACCTTCAAATGTTATTTTAGTTCCTATAAATGAAATTAATTATAAAAATCTTGTTTTAAAAAACTAAAAAAAAAAAAAAAGAAATATTTCACCTTCTTTCCAACCAGGTTTTATTTGAATTTCAAGTAATTTTTCATCACGTACAGTTGTATTAAGTTCAACATTAAATCTTTTACGTGTTATTTTCATTTTTCTTGTTGCACCTTTACTAACTTCTTCTAATGTAACATATAAATCATAGAATGTTGATGGATCTTTATAACGTACAAAATAATTATTATATGAATCATATGTATAATCATTATTTGAATCAGTTCTATAATCTGTATAATAAGGACCGGATGACGAAAACTGAGTATTTGGATCTGCACCTAAATAATTTCGTAATTCTTCAGAACCAAAACGATCATATAATGAACGTTTATATGGATCGGATAATATTTCATATGCTTCACTAATATCCATAAATTTTTTTTCAGCTTCAACATCACCACAATTTTTGTCTGGATGATGTCTAAGTGCTTTTTGTTTATAGGCACGTTTGATTTCATCATCACTAGCCAAATGGTTAACACCTAATATGGCATAATAATCTTTGTTACCCATTGTTTTTCTTTTTCTTTTCCGAGGGTATAGCCAAAATAAAGAGACGATTTTTTTTTATCGATTGTGTACAGGTCGATCTTTTTTTATTCGATTATTTTTCTTCTTCCAATCATTTTTGTGTGTCGACTTTTAATAGTATTCGTCTATTTCGATTGTTTTCATGGTACACGTACGATACACCACTTTTGCGAGGTATTTTACATGTGAATGACGAAGAATAGGAGGGAAGAAAAAAAAAAAAAAAGAACACTATGTATTATTTTACCATTATCATTCGTTTCAAACTGACAGCGTATCGGCGATGTTGTTCAACAACAGTCGAATACGAGCAAAGAGAGAGGCTAAAGAAAAAAAGGTGTATGCTATGTGTATAAGCATCACTCTACATCCTCGTGATGTATTGCACATGTCGTTAACCTGTTTTGCGTTTCGGTTTGAAGCGTTCAGATGTCCATATGATTATTCATTCAACTTGTCTTCATACAAAAATAGTCACAGTAAACACTATCAAAGAAAAGAAAAAGAAAAAAAATAAAAAATTTTCGTGTTGTAATGTACATAATACTTTTGTAATTGTCAGGCCTTTGCTATTTAGGTAGATATAACAGGACGATATTTATTTCTATACGTGGTGTTTACTCTCTGTATATATCAACATGTTCACAGTGACTCAACCGAAAAAAATCAAGCTGCTCAACAAAATAAACAATTAAATAAACTCGAAGAACATAATGAAAAACAGCATAAAATAGATACATCTAATAGTAAGTTTATATATCAAACAAAAGACAATGATAAATATTTGATTTATTCATATAGTTTATTTATCACCAAAAGCAAATGAATTCTTATCTTATGATAAATGTATGCAACGTATGAAATGTCCAGTCAGCCGTAAGGAAGATTGTAGTGAAGAGTGTCAAGCCGGTAGATAGTTATCGATTTTTTCGATCAACTTATATTTAATATACGTATATATTATACATATATATTATTAATAGGTAATACAGAAGAAGAAATTGAAGAATATAAAGAAATGACAATGAGTGAACGTCGAAGTGCATTGCGTAAAAAACCGAAACCAAGATTTGATGCAAATATTAAAAAACGATTAAATAAATATAAACGTTCATTTGAAACCAAACAATCATCAACTAATTCAACTGATCGACCAACAATAAAAACTGATTTATAAGATTTTTTGATTCTAGTCAAAAGTCGATTTCTTTTTTCTTTTTTCTTTTTTTTCTTTTTTAAACCTTTTCTTTCTTTCATAATAATAGAGAATTAGACAGAGCCATTAATTAATCATTTTGATCTATAAATGTATATACAGAATAACGTTGTTTTTCATATATATCATTTCAATGTCGAAAACTTATATTTCTTCTATTAAATACACATGAATATGAAATATCATATTCGATAATTGAATAATATGATAATTATACGTAAATTTAATAATTGATAGAACCAATGTCCTTGTTCATTTATTATCGAAATGATAACTTAGTAAAATAGGAAGTATTTGATAATTTGTGAAAAAGAAAAATGCTAACGAATGATGCAAAAGTTCGGTATTAAATTTTTTTTTCAATATAGCATGACAAGAACTCATCGTAAAGGCTTGATAGTTTTTCTTTAAAGTCTCTACTACAAAGCTATATAAAAATATTTCGTTCAATATATTTATCGAAGATTGAAAAAATGCTTTGCAACGTTACACAAAATAAGTAATGAGAAGTACATTTGATCGATTTGTCTCTTGCATTCAACTTTGGAAATTTTTAGGGCACGATATGTGTGAATAAAACCAACACAATGGTGGCTTTTTAATGGTATCAAAATATTCAATTTACAAAAAAAAAGCTACAGGTTCAGTTTTATTGAAAAAAAATTGATTTTCCTTGTTACAACTCCCAAGGAAGTGTTATATAATGTGCGTCTATAGAAGTCTTGCTAAACTCTAATTGAACATAAAATATGAAGTTTCATTAATTTCGATTGATAGAAAAAATCTTACTTTTCAAAATCATTTATCAGATGTGAATACTTTTCGTTAGAAAAATATCGATTTTGAATTCCATTGTAGCACTACAAAATCCGATAAAAGATTAAATTAAGAGAGGATTTCTTCTAAATTCTAAGAAAACTTTTTCAGTTCAACATGTTCGGAAAACTTCTTAGTCTTCGATAAATGTTTTGAATGAAATACTTTTAAACACCTTTATAGTAGAGACATAGCTTTTTCTAACAAGAAAATTATCGAGTCTTCATCACAAATTCTTTATGTACTATACTGAAAATATGATTAATGTAAAGTTTTTATCTACAAGACAGGTAGGTCAAAAGGACGAGAACATATATAGACTAGTTGAAGAAAAAAAAAAGTACAAAAGTAATTTAGTCTATAGCTATTTCCATTTTTATCCTGGCCCTTCAATATAATCGACTGGTAATAAATCATAATATTTTTAGAGATGAATCAATCGAATAGTATGTTGTCACATTCTAAATGGCTCACCCTTTATTAGCAGCTTATGCGCTTAGCTTATAATTTCGGCCCAACGGGTCTTGTGTCACATTTTAGGCATAAAAAAAATCTAAAATTGATTTACGATCGAATAAGACACTTCTCGTTACTGGTAAGTTTCTGTAAACATGTATTTTAGATCCAAATTGTTTTGCTTGTTCTCCTCTCTATAAATTTTGTCGAAGTAGTTGCTAGTAGAGTGGCATAAATATGTTGAAGTCAGTAGTGAGCATATAAAAATTATGTTTCTTTTGTCAATTTCGAATATATTGTGTAAAAATTTACTGAATTTATTCGTTCGTTCAAGACTTCGAATAGAGGTCACTAGTCAGAAACACATCTGCTAATAAAAGCAAGAAAGAAACAAACGTCTTTTCATCCGTTTGGCAGTATACTAGAATCTATTATTCAGAGATGGATCTAAAATTTCAGGAAGGACGAAAGGAAACGATCATGGTCACAAAACTTGTTTTGAAGTTCATTTAAGGACGTATCGCTTCTTTTTTCTGCTGAGGAAAATTCAAAATACATTTTGGAAGAGACGAGCAATCATCCATAGTACCATGTTTACTTCTCTGAGAGATACGTTCAAGAAAAAAAAACAGATGTCACTATTATACATTTGGAAATTCCTGATACTAAAATAATTTGCAAAATGATATATTTAAAATATTTCGAAAAATAAAATCAAACTAATTTTGTTTTAATGAAAAATCTTTTTTGTTTTTCTTTTCTTCATTTATTAATTTACTGAATAATCAAGCTGAATGAATGAATAAAATAACCAATTGAAAATTATGTAAATATAAATATACTAATCATTGTTGTTTATTTATTTATTTTCTTACATATAACTGTCAGATCAAATCATTTTGTTTTCTAGAAAACTTATTCATTCATTGTATTTTTATATCACATGAGTGATAATCTATTCATATAATTATTCAATGAATTGATATTATAATGATGCTAAGTAATTATACGTTTCTTACTGATCATTCGTATTCATTACAACCTGTGTCTGATGATAATGATGATTTACCATTAAATCAACGTGAAGGAAAAAATAAAAAATATCGTCGATCTTCAAATCGTATGAGTATGAATAAATTTTATTATTATTATTTTTTTTTTTTGTTTTTTAATGATTGATGATTATTTTTTTTTATTAGATGAAACAATATCAACTACAAATCGTACGGTATCAATTGATCGTAGTTCGAGTGATAAAGAAAACAGTTCATTAATATTATCGAATTCAAATAATACACCAATTCAAGTACCAAGTACTTCAATAAATACAAATACACGATCATATAAGAAAACATCAAATAGATCTCGTCGTAATCGCTTATCAACACGAACACTTATAACTAATTCACGTTCACAATTAGGAAAAAAACAAGATAATAAAACTTCATCAAAAGTATGTATGTTTGAATATATAAATTAAAATAAGCAAAGAATCCATGTTACATATTTATTCGCACTATCGCAATATCCATAAGTACCGCTGGCATAACGCATATTATACCGAATGATTTGAGTCATATGGTAGATTCATTTATCGAGAATATGCATTAAGCATTATGAATAAATCGTTTAAAATGAAGAATAATTATTTTCTTTTTTGGGAATAATACAGTTCTTAACAACAAAATCTGTTAGAATGATTCACGCAGAATTAAAATATGGAACAGCTGTTACTAATCACAGGAAGGTTATTTTTTGTTCTATCTATTTTGGGACATATTTCTTCATCATGCGTTTACTTAATCTTCTAGGAATACAATAAGGAATTAAATCATATATCAAGTAAAATAATTGATAATAGTTTTAATTCTTTTTGTTTTTTTTTTATTCTAATTTCTTTGAAGAAGAAACGAAATGAATGACAAACAAATCTTAGCAGATAATTATATTTAAGTTTTTTATTTACTATTAAAAATAAAGATAGATTTGAATGTTACATATATCACTTCTAGATTACAATCATTTAATATAGATGACAGAAAAAAAAAGGATACTAATAAATCTAAGATTTTTAGTTATAATGACTATTGCAATCGTTATAGATGACACCTGACAAGAATAAAGTATTACACCAATCAAGATTTTCATGTCAAACTGACATACACAAACTAAAAGTATCATTTTTTGTGACAGTAAGCTCATAATGGCGATCAATTTTTGGATGTTATCAGTTGAATAATGTTTGTATACTAATAATACAAAAAAAAATAAAAGAAAAGTTAAACGTCATTATAAGTTCATTAGATGTTTAATGATCTGAATAGAGACGACGAACACTTATCATTGTGTAGTTTTTAAATTTTGTTTATTCAATTCATAAGTATGTTCTAGAAAAATAGAATACATTATCGGTTATACTTTTTTGTTTTTCAATGACTTCTAGTTAAAAATGAATTCTAAATTTAGACTACCATCAAATTGACACAAAATAATATTGATAAAAAGAAAAAACGAATTGATCAAGGTAAAACAAAATCATTAAATATATCTCAAATGGACTCTATTGATGTAACACCATCATTATCGATTGAAGAACGTGTAAAATTACGTCGAACAAAACCACTTCAATCATCGACAATTATTGTTGAAAAAATAGAACCTAAAAAAATAAATAAATCTCGAATTCAAACAATAAAAACTTCATTAAAAAAATCTAAAAAAATTCCATCAACAAAAACTTCTTCTATTATTTCAACAAATAAAAATAAAAAATTATTTCTTGGTTCAGGTCTTGATCTTGATAATATTGTTCTTGGCAATCGACAACGTCGTTGTATACAAACATAAACATTTTATTGTATAGTTTTTTGTGCCATAAATTTCTCTCGCTCATATTTTGACGATTTCATTTGTTTCGTTTTTCTTCTTTTTGGTTGGGTTTACGTTCGTTTTTTGTTTATAGACGAAAAAAGTTCCGTTTTTTTTTTGTTTTTATTTCCGTTTCATTTCATTTTAGTTTTGTTAAATTGTATATATATATATATATATTTAGAGAGAGAGAGAGAAGTTTTTCTTTACTCTTTCATGCCTTTTTTTTGTGTATACATTAGTAGATTCTGTTTTGTTTCTTCATATTTGTATTAGCGTGGTTCTTGTAGAACTGAACTGTGCTTTAATGAACAGAGAAAATATGGCGCATTATATATATATATATATATATATACATATATGCATAGATATAAAACAAGGATAAATTATGTTGTTTGTAATATGAAAAGTTAACAAGAAAATTAAAACAATGTGTTTTTTATTCCTTACAGCTTACTCAAAGAATATAATGAAGATAATTGTTGGTTGGACGATTAAATGTCAAAAATGTTAATCCTTTATACATACTGATTTCACTCACACCCTTAATATTGTGCTGTGTGCATGTATACCAATGTTACATTCTATTGATCAAAGCTTAGACAAAGTTGTTTATTAAGGATTTATCATTTTCGACATTTAACTATTCTCTCTACTTGTTGGACACTTATATCGTTATAATACAACAGAGACAAATATATATATATTGTTCTTATTTGACAAAATTCTTTTATTATTATCAGTTGAAGGTATAGTCGAATGTAAAATGTGAGAAATTTAATAAATATACCCCATCTTAGATGGATTTTTTACGACATATGATCACTATTATAAAGACTATTACTAATACAGCTATATCTATTATAATTTACGATTTTCTCCTTTTGTTCTAGAATGATTGCTGTCTTCATAATTCATCTTTTCTAATCTTTACTCTCTCTCCAATAGAATGTTTGAAAGGTACGAACGTCAAGTGATAATCATCTTATTATTGAGTTATATCAAGCAATATATATATATATATATTCTTTTCAAGTAATTTCATCTATGGCAATGTCGAGCAAAGAATAGGCGTTAACGACTTCTAGGGAATACATCGGTTTTTTTTTGTTCTTGATGTTGCACTTTAATTTTTATCTTACAGAAACTTTGACCAGAACACATATAAGACCTTTATCATATGTAAATATACCTGAGTTATAAAAACTTGTTTCATGATCTGTTTTACTTGCTCTTTGATATTTTCAGATAAAAAAAAAGACTTCATTTATCCTTCTAAAAACCATGTCGAACGAAGATTTTAATAAACGTTTATTTAAGTAAGATATATGAATTCAATAAGAAAAAAAAAAATTGGAAATATAAATTATTTTTAATTGAATAGATATTTTGATGATCATCAAAAAGATTATATTCAACGATTAGGTGATGCTGTTCGTATTCCATCTGTATCAGCATGGCCCGATCATCGATCTGAAGTTGTTCGTATGGTTGAATGGACAAAGTCTTTAATGGAAAAATTAGGTGTTAAAGTTGAATTAGCTGATATTGGTCAACAAAAACTTGCTGATGGAACAAAAATCAAATTACCAGATGTTATTTTAGGTACTTATGGAAATGATAAAACAAAAAAAAACATATTAGTCTATGGTCATTTGGATGTACAACCAGCTCAAGTTTCCGATGGTTGGGATACAGAACCATTTGTATTAACTGAAAAACATGGAAAATTATTTGGTCGTGGTTCAACTGATGATAAAGGTCCAGTTATTAGTTGGTTGAATGTTATTGAAGCTTATCAAACATTAAATGAACCATTTCCTGTTAATGTTAAATTTGTTCTTGAAAGTATGGAAGAGTATGGTAGTGACGGTCTCGAAGATTTACTTAAATCTTTAAAAAATACATTTCTTTCTGATGTTGATTATGTTGTTATTTCTGATAGTTATTGGTTAGGTAAAGAAAAACCTTGTTTACAATATGGTCTTCGGTATAGAAGAATAATCTCTTTTTTTTTTTTATTTTAAACTAATTCTTTTTTTGTTTCGTTTTATTTTAGAGGAATTTGTTATTTCTTTATTGATGTTGAATCTTCAACAAAAGATTTACATTCAGGTGTTTTTGGTGGTACAGTGTAAGTAGTTTTTATAAGTATTGAGATTTCTGTTTACAAAAAATGTTCCAGGATACATTCAATAGTGTAAAATTGAACTGTTGCTATAAAATAAAAAATCGTCAATATTTTTCTTCCATGAAGAAATATGCCGATCTCGAGCAAAAACTCGTTGTTTGAGTTCATATTGGGTCTGAAAGAAGGTCTCGATGATACTAGGAAAAACGTAAAAAAGCTCGTGCCTATGAACTTTTGACATTGAGTTATGACCGATTTTCGATTTGTTTGTAAGTATCTCTCGAAAAGTCAAATCATGAAGTTTCGTTCTAAAATTTTGTCTATAAATCCTTGTATGAATCTATGACAATAATTTTAGATTATTTTTCAAATTTTAGTACCTCCTTTCGTCTATAATAAAACTAATTTCATCATGTTGTGTTATCTTAATCTCATTGAAAACTTTGCTGATTTATTTTATTTTAGTCATGAAGCAATGACTGATTTAATTACTATAATGAGTACGTTAGTTGATGATCAAGGTCGAATTTTAATTAATGGTATGTATGATGATGTTGCACCACTTTCACCAGCAGAAGAACAACTATATAGTAAAATTACATTTGATGTGGTTCGTTGAAATATTTTATTTTCTGATTTGAACGAATTTTATATTGTTATTTTAATTTTAGAGTACTTATTGTTCTGAAGCAGGTGTTAAAAAAACAATTCAAACTGAAAAAGAAAAAATTTTAATGCATCGATGGAGATATCCATCATTATCTTTACATGGAATTCAAGGTATGAAAAAAAAAAAGGATTACGTTGGTTTTTTTTTTAGAATAATTAAAATTTTTTTATTAGGTGCATTCGATGGTTGTGGTTGTAAAACTGTCATTCCACGTCATGTTATTGGAAAATTTTCGATTCGTATTGTTCCTAATATGAAAATTTCTACTGTAGAAAAATTAGTTGAAAATCATGTTAAACAAATAATGAAAACACGAAATTCACCAAATAAAGTTTCTGTTAAATTAGAACATGGTGGTAATTATTGGGTTGCTGATCCAAATAATCCTCAATATGTTGCAGCACGTAAAGCAACAGTTGCTGTTCATGGTATTGAACCTGATTTAACACGTGAAGGTGGTTCAATTCCTATAACATGTAAATTGAATTTTTGATAATAGAAAGAAAAAAATATATTATAATGACTTATTCTTTTTTTTTTTCTCTATTTCTAGTAACATTTCAAGAACAAACAGGTAAAAGCGTTTTATTATTACCAATTGGTGCTAGTGATGATGGTGCACATTCACAAAATGAAAAATTCGATATAAGCAATTATATGAATGGCATGAAAGTGATGAGTGCTTATTTTCAAGAAGTGGCTAAATTATAATTTAATCTCATTAATTTTATCTTAGAAAAAAAAAACCAAGAAAAAATTTTTATTAATATATGATTTCTTTTTTTTTTTTGAATCTTTATTCAATAAATTTCCTAATGGATGATTTAAACAATGAATAATTCTTATTCTAAACTATAAGAATGATCTTTGAACTTTTCTTTTATTGTTGATCAAAACAAAATCTATTCTATATTATTTATAATCTTGAAAAAAAAGTCCTATTTTTATTCATGAAAAAAGTACAAATAGATTTTTATTGAATTGTGATGATGGAAGTCTTCTTGAAATATCCAATGTCAATTGCTTATTCAACTGAAAATCTGCTGTTGTTTTGGTTTTTTTTTTTCATATCCGTATTAAGTGGTGTTTTTTCCTTTGAAATGATGAGATATAATCAACCATAAGATTTTATTCCTCATTGGTTAGAAAATAATGAAGTCATTTCATCTAAGTATACTAACAAAATGTACACGATTTTCTATTGAATGATTCAATGTCATCATCAAACCGTTCATCAAATGTTCCATTATCTTGTAAGTATTTATTAAATTAAAGATACTGTTATTGCAGTAAACTTAGGTCCACATATTATTTCTAGAATGAATATACTTGAAGGATAGTATTTTAGTCATTCTGTCAAAAAGAAAAGTCTGAGCTCGTTTGAACTCCAGCAACTTCATAGAAGCTAAATATAGATATTTGTGAAGTCGTTAATTCATTCTTGTTGAGAATTCTAACATGATAGTATTTATATTAGATATGAGCAAGATGATTCTGGGATCACAAGCAATACTTTTTTTTTTTTTATTGGAAACGATATCTTTCATGATCATGTAAAACTTGCGCTGAAAAACGACTGGTTCCGCTCATGTCTAATTTATACACTTTACTTAGATAATTATTTTGAACTTTTTCTTAGTCGATCGTTTTCGAGTGAGATCCATTGAATTTCGTGTACCTTTTCGTGATCATCAACGTGAAAAATGTATTAAACAAAGTCCAGGTAAATTAAATACTTAATGTATACATATATATATATATATATATTCTATGACTTGAATATAATTAAGATCGATCATGGACACGTAAGACTCAAGTGCATCCTCATGATATTAACTTATCAAAATCCAAACGAATAGATCATGATGTTGTACATTTATTTCATGCAAATAAACAATCAAATCCTATGACATCATCATCATCATCATCATTATTAGAAAATTTACAAAATAAAAGTATGTTTCAAAAATTATAATAACAAAAAATAAACATAAAAATACTTTATTTTATGTTCGAACGATTTTTTTAACACTCGACTAAAATCAAATGTTGATGGAGTCTTTAATGGTAGAAATTTATCTCTTATAAATCAATCTTATTCAACTCAATTAAAACCTCCTGAAGATATAAATCCACCAACTCCATATATGCTACATTATCGGCATAGTTCTGTACCAA